CCTTTGATCCAAACACATGATTATGTTTCCTTACTGAAAAGTCACACTATATGGCAATAGACAGGATATACAAGAAGAAAGACAAACAAACTGTAGGAACTTATTTACGAAAGAAAACAGAAAACTGAGAATCAAATTGGTATGTCAGTTTCATTTGCACTTCTGTAGACCTGAATGCTTGCTTTAGGTGGAATCTGCATTTGTCTTTCCCACCAGTGTCCCAGCCTTTTGACTCCGTCTTCAAAAAAGCTGTCTACATTTGGTGTCGTTTTCACACCTCAACAGTGCTTGGCATACTTTTGCACGTCCACATATGTTTAGCGTCCTTTTGGGGCGGCTCCACTGTCATTGCGCCTCCCCACTGCTTTAAAAGAATCGTCTCCAAACAACATTCAAACAAGTATAGAGAAAGACGGCGTCACAGCAGCACGAAAATGATTTAAAAATGCAAATGCAGATTCGGCCTTAGTTTCCTGTTGAAGGACTGCGATAGTTTCATCCTAAGCAGTACATTTCTGAAATATATTGCCTATGGTTGACTGCCTCTCTGCCACTTCCTGTATTGAAAGTTAGTACATGGAGTTTAAAACCACCCGTGTTGATTTTGAATACTTCTAAGGCACGTGTGTGTGAATTCCCTTGGGAAAGGATCCTAATTCCATTGTCGAGTATGTGCTGCCTAGGCTTCAGGTGGCAGATCCAACCTTTGACATCTCCAGTTAAGATGAGTCTTGGGTAACAAAGCTATGGAAGACCTGTAACGGGCAGCCCTAACAGTAATGAGAACCAGTGTGGTATAATGGTTGAATCTGGACAGGAAGACCTGGGTCCAGATCCCTACTCTGCCACGGAAGCTTGCTGAGTTGACCCCTTGCCAGTGACACACACTCAGGCCAATCTACCTTGCAGGGGTGTTGTGAGAACTGTGTAAGCTGCTGTGGTTCCCCACTTGGGAGAATGATGTAAATAAATGAGAAAAAAATCTGCTCTAAATCACCCACTGCCTCCTTAATTTTCTAGCTAACATTGTCAGGCTCTTCAAATCAGAAGTGAGCAGGGGTCATTTAGTAGAAAAAGAGCTAGGGGGACTCATTAGCATAACTCATTAGCATATACCACACCCCCTGACATCACCGGAAGTGTGTCCTCCCCACAGCCGGTGCCGACCTCCAGCGGGCACCAGCAGGGAGCTCCAGGCCCCGCCCTCCCGCACCTCACCCGGGGGGATGGCGTCCCCCCGCGTCCCCCCCCAAATGAACCCTGGAAGTGAGCAATGTTGGACCTACCATGCTATCATAATGAGTGGTCAAATATAGTTCAGGTTAAGACATTCAGCAGCAGCAGCAGCAGCAGCAGCAAAAAAAAAATCCATTTCATTTTTAACCCCCCCCCCTCCTACACACACATACAGAGTTTGCCCCTGGCTTAGGCTCTACCCATGTTTGTGTACATACTTTAAAGTTCCCAGAGTTACTGTCAGACTCGGACCTGCATTGATGATATTATTCAGCTATGTACTCGCTTTTGTAACTCTGCCCACTTTGCACATCTGGCTTTGCTCGCTGCCCTTATCGGTCCTCCCTGACATTCCTGTGGGAAGGGGAGAGTGTGAGAATGGGTGTATGAAGGCGTGTGGAGGGGCAACTCCTAATTCTTCCGAAGCAGCCCCCAGACCATTCCCAGGTCCAACCGGAGTCGTGTCCTTGGGAGAGATAAGACTTTAGACAAAGCTAGTTAGGTCTTATACTCTTTCATGACCTATGGGTAACGTTTGTGGGTCCGTGTGATGTATGCTTGGTAGGTGGGCCCCATTCCCCAATTATCAACCCCTTGCTTTTGCTTGTTAGTCTTGGCAAAGACGTTGACCTTAACAGAAGTCCAAATCTTACCAATAAACCTTGCTTAAGGAAGATTGCATGAAGAGTGGTTTCTCTGGGGTCTGACAGTTACTTCAGTAAAGTGTTCTGCAGAAATGTACATGCCCCAGGAGAGGCTTAAAAATCTTATTTTAAATCGGTGGTGCTTGAGACAAACTTAATAATAATATCCTTGAAGTGCCAGAAAAGGCCTTGCTGTGTTGGCTGTCAGTCTGATCCATAGTAGCATAAGTGGTTGACCTTTGATACACTGAGGAAAATACACAAGCTGTGAGCAATTGCCTGTCTGGTATGACTCAAACTGTACTTTGCCCTTATTTGAGCAATATTCTAAGTTAGTGAGTTTAAGTGCTAAGCTTTCATACAGTATTCATTGGATTGGAGGAAAAAAAAGGAGCAGTAAACATATTTGTAATCAGGGGTCATTTTGTAGAAAAAGAGGTGCAGGAACTCATTAGCATAACTAATTAGCATAACTTATTTGCATGTGCCACACCCCCTGACATCACCAGACGTGTGTCAGAAGGCAACACCCACCGCTCAGGCTCCGCTGGACTGTTTTGGATTGCTAGCTATCGGGGGGGGGGGGACATGCAGATCTGTCCTCGCAGAGGAGGGAGAGCTTGTACCTGAATAAAACTTGGTCTTAAAGGTGCCACTGGACTGTTTTGGACCGGGGCCCTGGGGGGGGGGCTCTGCAGTTTACCTGGCTGCTTCTTGCTCTGACTGAGGGCTGCTGGGAGCAGGGAGTGGGGCTTGTTGCATGTGCCCGCCCCCTGGGCTCTTTACTGCCGGAGCTCCGCTCCTGTGCGCTCCTGCAGGAAATGACCCCTGTTTGTAATTACTGTTTAATGAAAAGTGATATAAAGTTTGTGTTCATGTGATGTTCCTTGATGACATCTTTCTTGCTGGCAGCAACTTAGATTCTTTGCGAATCAGATGATCTTATGATTTTCTGGGACATCAGTGGTAGGGGAGAGACAATTGTCAGGAAGAGAAAAGTTACTCTCTTGGTGTACTGCTTTTTGATCTTTGGTCTGAAGCTTCTTAGGTTGCTTTATACTTTAAAAATGGAATCACTGGGAGAAATACTGGCACAACGTCGCATCAGAGGTAATTTAAACCCTAGTTAGTGTCTGATGCATGGATCTAATGCTGGCATGGCCATTTTCAAGTTTTGAAAAGCACTGGACAGTGTGGCCAGGACCCCTTCCCCACTCTCCACCCATGCCACCTTACCCAGATGCTGGGAGCACTGCCACCATGCACTAGCAGTAGAAGAAGAAGAACAAGATAAGAGATTGGATTTATACCCTGACCTTCACTCAGAGTCTTAGAACGGTTTAGAATCTCCTTCCCGTCCTCTCCCCACAACAGGTACCCTGTGAAGTAGGTGGGGCTGAGAGAACTGCTCCTGAGAGGAGGACAACAACAACAACAACAACAACAATAATAATAATAATGATAATAATAATAATAATAATCTTTCCATTTATTAATCACTCAATCCTGCTGGTGCTGGCTCTGAGCGATTTACAGTTACACATTCACAAGGGACTAACAATGATGCATAGGGGTAAGGGAGGACAACACATATAAATCTTTTAAATTGCCCACGTTCGCAGCCGACGGGGATTTTGTTTCAGCTGTAGATTAGACATGTTCCAGACGGCATATTTCCTCGGCTTGGCTTGATGACGTCCGCTTTCTCCAGGACTCCAGGACTGCTTCGTCACAACGCCACACTGCCACCGCCTGGCCAGAACGGCCCATTACAGGCTTCTTGATGCCGAAGAGATCTTTCTAGGCTTCCGATCTTACGAGCTGGACATTCCGTTCGCCAGCTAACACTTCCCCCACCGGGGGGTTTCGTGTGCCCATCCTCTCTAAGGAGTGGTACCCATTTTATCTACTCGCCGAAGCTTTTGAACCGCTGGGTGGACGGCGAGCTGGGGACAAGGCTGGTAGCTCACACCAGCACGGGGGAAATCAAACCTGGTTCTCCAGATTAGGGTCTGCCACTCTGCTACACCAAACTGGAGTTGCTGGGCAGCGTGTGTAGCCAGGAACATGCGTGGTGGGATGGCTTGTGGGGTAAGGGTGCATGGGTGTGTGGCATTGGGTCTTGCCTGGAGCCTGGGCCTCAGCAGCTGCCATACCTTGGGGAATACCGATACTGGCTCAAATGCTGGGAAGCTCAGCATGTATTTCGTGGAAGCCACTTGGGTGGCTGAAATAATCTTGACAATCCCAAATTTGATGAATTAAAGCTGGCACGCTGACAACCTTTGTGAGGAGGAAAAGATGGGGAACTGTGATGCCAGAGGAAGCAGATTTTAAAAAAATTGCACCAAAATTTTTTAAACATATTTATTCCTCCCTTTTGTGATCAAGTGGAGATGTATAAGGCGACTGATAGTGTTATAATATCAATAATTTGGCTCCTCTACATATTAAAATCCACATCTAAGTAAGAAGAGTACGACAGTATTATGACTAGAAAAGGCTTATACCCCCCACCCCACCACAGTAGTCTGGCAAGATTAGTTGTATCATGGAGAACCAAAATTTTATCTGGAAATCCTGTTTCATAGAATACTATACCATCTTCGATGTACCGTCCACCTACCAGATTCCATGGAGGTGGTTTAGTTTGAGTGTGTTGGGGCGCCTCCACTACTAAGTTCATGGGTCGCAAATATGAGCCGCTGAGTATCTTGTATAATGTATAGATTGTATAGATTTGAAGCACCAGTTTTATTATATATGTAAAATTGTTTTATTGTTTTACCGTTTTAAACACTGTTGTCAGCCGCCCTGAGCCACTGGGTAGGGCGGGATAGAAATCGCAAAAATAAATAAATAAATAAATAGACTATTTGGCAAATTGATACTCCAGCCTTACCTTGTGTAACTTCAGTTTATTCAGTGGGTCTTGTGTGAGGTATACCTGAGGGCTTCAAGTGCGTTGCATCCTGCATTCATATGGCTGCACCTCAAGTTCTGGAGGTCAGTCCTGCTATACGGTTTGCATCCAACTGGCTTCTTAATGTGTAGTCTGTGAGCTTTTGAATTTTATTTTCCTGATGTGGCACTAACTTGACTTACCTGTTTTTTGTCTAGATGCAACATGCTTGGAAGAACTTGATAGCATCTTTTAAATGCACCGCCATCGCAGAGCATGACATTAGAATATTCCACTCTCTATTCTTGGAAGATGGGGGAAAAGGATGATGACAAACGTAGTCAAGCCGGCCAATTATTTGAAAACTTTGTGCAAGCCTCAACCTGCAAGGGTACCATACAGGCCTTTAATATCCTCACTCGTCAACTTGAGCTAGATCCTTTGGACAACAGGAACTTTTATACAAAACTCAAATCAAAGGTGACCAGTTGGAAAGCCAAAGCTTTATGGAACAAACTAGATAAAAGAGCAAATCATAAAGAATATAAGCGTGGGAAATCTTGTATGGGCACTAAGGTAAGGTTGAAAGGATTACGATGTATTACTTCAACATTTAGATTCTTGCTTCTTTCCTTTCCTAAAATAGCAACCTGTATGAGTTGCCTACTTGTATGACTGACAACTGCAATTGGTGATCAGGAAGTACATGCAGCATTCCGTAAACATATCTGCTTGAACAAAACCATAAACATACAATATTAAACGAACAACATACATTTTAAACATTCCAATAACAGATCGGCTGTCTAGCATTCAGATTTTTGGGAGGGGGGGAGGGTACTGGGCACGTTGCTGGCCTCAACCAAAAGCCTGGCGGAACATCTCCACCTTACATGTCCTGTGGAACTTTAATACTGTGTTTTCCCGAAAATAAGACAGTGTCTTATATTAATTTTTGCTCCCAAAGATGCACTAGGTCTTATTTTCAGGGGATTTCTTATTAAGAAGAATACGGTACACTCCGTCAGGGCAGAGCGAGCCGCAGGCGGCAGCTTGTCCTGGCGGCGCAGGCTCTCTGATTAAAAGAGACCTCGCACTTCCTGTCTGCTCCGGGGGGGGGGCCTTATTATCGGGGAGGTCTTATTTTCGGGGAATGCCTTATATTTCAGCGAGAGGCAAAACTGTAAGTAGGTCTTATTTTCGGGGGATGTCTTATTTTCGGGGGATGTCTTACTTTCGGGGAAACACGGTAGATCAGACAGGGCACGGATGTCATTCCTCAGAGAGTTCCACCAGGCTGGTCGAGGCCAGCCAGATATCTTTGGGGCTGGGAACCACCAGGAGATCCTTATCTACTGATCTCAGTGCCCTTCGAGGAACATATCAAGAGAGGCGGTCCCGAAGGTACGTAGGTCCCTGATCGTTTAGGGCTTTAAAGGTGAGCACCAAAACCTTGAATCTGATCCGGTGCTCCACTGGCAACCAGTGCAGCTCATGCAGCACTGGGTAGCTATGTGCCCTCCGTGGGGTCCCTGTGAGGACCCGAGCAGCTGCGTTTTGTACCAGTTGGAGCTTCTGGGTCAGTCCAGAAGGTAGCCCTACGTAAAGCGAGTTACAGTAGTCCATCCTGGAGGTGACCACTGCATGGATTACTGTGGCAAGGTCTGGGCGAGACAGATAGGGGGCCAGCTGCCTGACTTGGTGCAGTTGTAAAAATGCCTGCCGGACAACACTGGTGATCTGGGCCTCCCTAGATAAAGTGGGGACCAGGAGCTCCCCCAAGCTCTTGACAGTAGGTGCCGGTGTCAGAGGGCTGGGAGTTGTCTCTCCACTCCTGAATTGCCCCCCCCCCCCAGCCACAGAACCTCCATCTTAGCTGGATTCCGCTTCAGCCATGTTGTGGGCAGAACCACAAAATGACTGCCAAAGGAGGTTATGCATGATTCTTCAACATTTCAATATTTAAGGGAGAGGCTCTGTTTAAAAATATTTTCTGGCATCCACACAGCATGCCCTCAATCATGCGGTGAAGATCCTTGTGCTGTGGTGGCAGCTGCTGCCAAAGCATTTTTTAAAAAAATCTGCATGGCCAGTTGGAAACTCTGGTATACAAGAACCCCACCTGGTCCTGCCCACTTTCTATAAACACTTGAGCACCAGGATAGGCACATGGTGCCTATGGTGGCCACATTGGAGACTCCTGCTGTAATCTGTAAACTCTTGCCCTTTGACTCATGCCTTGATTATAAATGCTTGCAGTGTAGGGGGGGGACCCTCTAAGTTTAGATGTCTCAAGATGGCAGCCATTCTCACTTAATTTCCTTTCCTGTTGAAAGAACCCCTGGTTTTTTAGTTGTTTGTGGTGTATTCTTCCTCTGTCCTTTGTATTAGACTATCAGAAATCCATTTAGCACTTTCTCATACTTATTCCTCAGACAATAATCCACATTTTGTAATAATGAACATTGCATGATTTGTCTTTCATCATCAGAAAGTTACATTTGCTTTTGTATTTTTGTATGTTTTAAAGTATTTTAATGTTTCTTTGTTGGAGAAAGCTGTTACCATATGAGATCTTTTATAATGTTAAATTTCATGCGTTAAAATAGGTGTGCCTGTGTGCCAATTGTTTCCTCACCTCTTTTTTCGTAAAGCTAATGAATATTTTGCTTAGCATCCTTAAACTGAATCAAAGGCAGGAAAGGAATGAGTGCGAAAAAAGTTTCTGATTTGTAAGAAGCCAGAGCAGCTGTGCAATTCCCATGGTCATACCGAACAGGAAATTGACAGGAAATGACCGATGCCTAAAAGGAAGGGACATGTCTTATCAAAAGGCTGGTAGGAGAAAAGAAGATACAATTTGTGATTACAGTATTACTGATGTTATTGGGACAGTTTGAAACATACAAGTTAAAACAGGGGATAGCTCTTAGGCTTTTAAAAAGTTCCCCCCCTCCTATTTTAAGCAACAGCCTTATATATCCCCCCCAAAAAAAGAAAGGTTCTTCATAATAATGATTAAAAATAATGTTTATAGACAGTTAATGGATATACTGCAAAATAAGTAAAGTCCACTTTTCTGATTTATTTGATTTATCAGGTCTTTTAAATATCTCATAAAGGACCAAAGTTCGTTTCGCTGCTGTTGGTATAAGCGACCTTTCTGTGAGAAACTACTTAATCTGGGTAATGCAAATAAAAACATTGACTCTGGACTGTAACCTTACTGTGGCTATCTCTGACACATTCCTTACTTATGATTCATTGTCTGCTGTAAAAATATAACTATGGCACAGAACAATCTCTACTTTGAGCTCATGTTGGTACTGGGAGCTAGAACATACCCAATTCTTATCTAATACTCTCTAGTAGTTCCACAGGGATATACCTATAACATATCGCCAGTGCAGTAAAGCTGCTGGGCTCCCATAAACAGAAGGAAGGAAACTTGGGGATGATTTTGAGCTCCTGAGTTCAGTTGTGAGCAAACCTGTGCTTTAGGGGGCAGTTGGCACAGCTTTAGAAAATATTAGAACCAATTATTGTGGGAAAGCCACATACAAATCCTTGAGCAGCCATGACGTTCAGTGGGTGATCTTACTCAGGTTGTTGTATTCATTTAACCTGTCTGGTGTCCTTCTATACTTTTCCTGCCTTTTATTGCCAAGTAAAATATTTAAACTATTATTTATCATATGACTGAGTTACACACAGGAAGCATATAATAGAAAATACATAACCGAGTTGATACAATGGGCATTCAGACCAACTGGGAAATTGCCCTAAATACTAATATCTAAATTTTCAATCCACTCAATCACATCTGGAGAGAGTTCAGAGAGGCTCTGTTACATCACCTTGGAAAGCACGACTCTCACATTCTTGTGACAGATGGAAAACAGTTTGGCAGGCCGCACCACAATCGCATTCGGGTCCTGGTTTTGAACTGCAGGCTGTGGAAGATCGGTATTTCAGCAGTTCGAGACCCAAGTGTGCCACATGACGGAGTGAGCTCCCGTCTCTAGTGCCAGCTCCTGCCAACCTAGCAGTTTGAAAGCAAGAAATTGCAAGTAGATAAATAGATACC